TTAAATAAATATAAATAGATTTATTATAATATAAATTTATATTTGTATAAATCTCATGTTTTTTATAATTTTTATATTTATTTAATAAAATATTTTAAAATTTATACAATTTTTAATTGTCGCTTAACTTTTTGTCAGTTAAAGTACAGGAACACAGTGATGTTTGTCAGAGTAAGCCCAATCCATGTGATCTCATCACGTTGGGCTCATATGCGACACTTCAAGAGCCTGTTGAGGAAGTTATAGTCTGCTGTGAACTTTGGCCCATTATGACAATTAAAAAAATAATAATTTATTAATTGATTTATGTCATATTATTTTTTATATTTTTTTAAAAATATAAAAATTAACTTTTTTTTTTTTTTTTAACTTTTCTAAATAGACATTTGTAATCTTTTCTCCTCCTTGTAATTGATCAACATCTTCGGTTAACTTCATTCGCTTTCAATCAAATTTTATTTTTCTATGTTCAATAATACGAAACAAACTTAATTTTTAATTTTGAATCTCCAAATTATAAAGTGATTTCAATTTATCTTCAAGAAAGAGAAATCTAAATAAAATTGGCTATAATAATTATAATTTTACATTACTTAAATTGGTTCTTCATATTGAGCAATATTTTTTAATGTCATTTGATCACAAAATTCATATTCATTATCACTGTCTATAAACACTGTCATTATTCAATTATTTAAATTTTGTTAATTATAATTAACGAATAGTTTAAAATTAATGTTATTTTAAAAATTAAGAATTTAAATTAAAATAATTTTAAAAATATATATTTAATTTGTTACTGACATCAAACCTAAAGGTTTATTTTTATATTTTTACCAAATTTTCATAGTACCTAAAATTGTTGTTGGATAAATAAATTCATGATAAAGCGACAAACCCCAACAATTTTCTCAACAATCCGCCCGTATGGGCCATGCATATCCCATCCGAACGTCATTGGTGTTATCAACTGATGTCTCATGTGAGCTCGCCGCAGGGTATCCAAATCCCAATCATTTATCTTCTGACAACACTGCGCACCAACTAAAAAGCGACGAACATTGTACCACCATGTGCACGTTAGAGAAGCGCGGCAACATCTTTCTTCTTGACTCTCACAGGCGACGATGAGCATCGCCTGAACCCTACCCTCATCGGCTCGCTCCGATCGGCTCTGCGCGAAGCACGGGAGCAATCGACTAGCGGCTCGGCTCTCATCACCACCGCTCGCGGCAAGTTCTTCTCCAACGGTTTCGACCTCGCCTGGGCCCAATCCGGCGGCTCCCCTTCCGCAGCCCGTGATCGGCTTCACCACATGGTCGTTTTATTCAAGCCGGTGGTGGCGGACTTGATCTCCCTCCCG